ATCGCATTGAACAAAGCAAATTAAACAATTTTGTATTTTGTCTGTATTTTACGGTTTTTTTTGTTACAGACTGTATACATTTGCTTATTACATATTATGATAGTGTTCTAGCTCTGTTTATATTAATATATTATTAGAAATAAAATTGAGAATGCTATGAGTGGGAAAAAAAGCGAATTTGAAAGCAAATTGTAAAAGTGAAATTACTATCATTTAAACAAAAGCGGATTTTGAAGAGAAAAATGAGTGATTAACAAAACAAATTTGGAAGTGAAAAATGTGTGATTAACAAAAGCGAACTTGAAAGCGAAAAACAGAGAGAAAAAGCAAATATCACAAGCAAATCACTATTATGTAAAGAAAAACAGAAGTGGATCTAAATAGGAAATGCAGGACATTAAACAAAGAGACTCGGAATCGAGATGAGCGAGCCTTTCCAGAAATCGCGAGATTGATGAAATTTGTTAACAATAAATTCTCGATATTATGATATTTACAAATTTTTTACTAAATTATTTTTTATTTTATTATTTTTATTGTTAATTCAAACATATCAGATCATATCGAGTGTTCTATCTCAACGCAAACATACTGGTGCTAAATTAGGGTATTTAGTTTGATGGACACGTCCAGCATGGCTCAACAAACAAGTGTGAAGGTGATTGAGGGAGCATAAAAAATCGCGTAAATAATAGCCCCAATTACTTTCCATATTTAATAACAAATATATATTTAAAAGAATCTTACTCCTTTAAGGAATATCATTAGACCAATTACTTGTGAACCAGGACTTCTTTGATCTTTCAGAAGAGACAGATGTACAGAAATTTGGTTGTTTCAATTTCTGAAATAAAGTACTGTACGTATATGAAATCGTGCATATGGTTATAAACATTATGCAATGTGAAATTCAGTTTTTTGAGAATTGATTCTCTGTCAAAAATAGAAATTATATAAAATAAAATCTATTAAAAAAAAATCTATTAAAAAATCTACTTTTTATTCTGGCCTCCAAGATAGAAAATCTTTCTACATGTAATTTCTATTAGAATTGATTTCAATTATATTATACCATTTTCTTATTATAGTTTTGGCGTACTTCTTTGAACAAAGAATTCCATTGAAGATGGATGATATTGTATGAATTTATCAGAGGGTTCTTGAAATAAACGAAACCAATTTCTCCACTATCACAGATCCCAATTTAATGTGCAGAGATTGTTAGTAAAGGTCATTTTGAGATTATTAGTATCATATTAATATATAATCAATAATAAACTCTGACATATTTATTTCTTTAATTTTTGACTAGCTGCAAGCTTTGATTCGACGAATCGTCCGGCTCTTGTAAGTGTACTTGCAAAACTATTGGAACTTTCTAAAAAACATGCATGTCTATTATTACTTACAAATACATCTTTACAAATAGAATCCTGATTGAAGTCAATACAGAAAAGCTTAATTGACAGTCCACGAATGAAAGATATAATTATGATTAGAAATCCGAATCGGTCGTTCTCACATCTACCAATACTATACTTAGAATAGTCTGAATATATTTTGATAAACATAAAAGTGTAAGTTGCTTTTTTGTTTTCTAATGCAATTAAGCATTAGGTTATTTTTATCTCGTTTATAAACTTTAACGTAATTTGCTTTGAACCACATAATGGTTTAGCGTTGTTGAATAGTTTAAATTTGTTTTGTTCATAATCCCACCGGTAAAATAATGGTTCGTACAACCAGATTGCTATATAAATTGTCCAAAAACCTCCTTTTGTGAGGTATTTAACATAGGTAAACCTTACAAATGGGATCTATTCGAAAGATCTAATTTCCGCGCATTCTTTTGTTAGACTGTCAATATCTTATTACTTCTAGAACGCTCAGCTTATAAAATTGATAGTTATAAAACGCAGATGTTAGTTTCTTGACAACGAGTAATTTCCTACAATCATGAGTATTCAAACTTTCAGATTCCATCTTTATAACAATGTTTTTTGTGATTGTTTTGTGCTCTGTTTATGTATGTATCGGTATCGGTATCGGTATGTTTAAAACGAGATTAATACATGTAGCGATATCGATATGTACGTACATGTATCACAAAGTCCGGCAAAAAAATCTGACGCAAGAAAATAAAAATGCGAAAATTCAGGAAACATGTGCTTAAACCTAGTTTGAACCACTAATAAAAAATGTCGGGGAGACAGTTTTACATCTAATCTTGACCTCAAACCTAATCCTTACTCGAATCTTAACCTTCAAAATCAACCTTTAACATTGTGTTACCGATCGACAAAATTTAATAAATGCTTACGAATTGTATCTTTATCATTGTTATCGTTATCGTTATCGTTATCATTATTGATAAAATGAAAAAATTTGCATTATTGATAAAGAATGTTCAAAAATACGCGGATAAAGTTGGAGAATGTTACCAAACTGCCGAATATAATAAAAGGGTTTGCGGTGTATTACTTGAACGTGTATATAACGTTGCAAACGGAGTGAAAATTTTATATCTTCTAAAAGATGATTACAGTTGGTTTTTTGAAAATAACGATAATTATCCGATTTTTCAAGGATTGGTTCAAGTAATTGGAAAAATCCAAAATTTTATCATTGATATTTCGCAGTTGCAAGGTGTTGGCAAATACTTTAATGAATATCGAGGCCCCGAATTTTCGATGGAAATAAAATTTTATAATCTTATTGGAGAGTTCGAAACGACTAGAGAAGCACTTACTCATGCGTTAAAAGAACGTCTCGATTTTGGAAGACCGAAAAAAGATCAAAAAATCGAAGATAAACAAGCTATAGATCAGGATATTCGGGATATGAAAAATGTAATATAAAGTTTTTATAAAAATCATTAATCACATACTGTATAATTAATCTATTTATGCGAATTCTTAATAGTATATTGGAAGTATTGCTGGTGGTATTGCAG